GTGAGCAACGCGTTTGCACGAGAGAAGGAAATCAGAACCCGTTCGGGATGCCCAAAAAGCTACTCCGTGATGGATTGATCGCGCGATGAAACTCCCAGGTCGGCAGATTACCTGAAACTAAACATTATCGAGAGGTGGAGAAAATGGCGAGAAGAAGGGTTGAAAACAACAGCAAGAAACCACATTATGCGCAGGCGAGTAGGAAAATAAAGAGATAGAAAAGTGTTGAGAATCAACGCTAAAAGGCAGGAAACTATAGACATGAAAACCCGAAAGTTTTAAACCCGCGCAACATTATTTTCTTCGAGCTCAAAAGGCGCACGAATTTTCGCCCTCTGCTCGCCGGGCTGCCACCCAGCTCCCCATGACCGAATGCCTGTTGGTTATGGGACGGGGCAGCCAGTACGGTGCCCTGTTCAAAGCCTAACCAGCGATAAACAAAACAAGGCGGCGAGAAAAACTAAGAAAACAGTGGAGTTTGAGGACCCGCTGATGGTAGATGAATAACTCCTGTGTAAAGTATTGAATTCTAATCGAAAACGTGGAGACGAATAAAATGACATGAAAAAGGCTATATAAAGAGCTCTATAAAAGCGTGAAACCGAATCAATTTGTGCAAACGGGTGCAAAAAGCGCCGATGGGTGCAAGGGAGGGGCGCGCCTGTGGGCGCATGGAATGGTGAACACCTTCACTCCTGGGAAAACGCCGAATTTCTTAGATTATGCACGTATTTATGTTTAAAATACATAAATTAGCGAAACGTTACTAGATTCGCCGGATTACGATATGAAGCGCCATGGCTTATGTGTAACTTTGCTACGCAGCCAATGCCTGCAAAACTTAGAAATACTTTAGATCTATATTTATAGATTCTCGAGAATTCCAAGAGCCGACCTTTCAGACGAGCATGGGCATCATTGCCAGCGCAACGTTGCCGGTATCTTTGAGCGAAGCATGAAAGTAAGTCGGCAAGAAACTGCAGAGTAAAACTTATTTTTGGGAAGCGGGAACAAAGTAAGTGCAGCTTACGAAGCTTATAAAGAAAATTAGGTAATTTTAACACTTTTAGGGGCCGTTCATCGCGCAGTGGAGCGTATATGTAAGTCCCAAATGAAGCTAAAGCCACGAAAACAATAAAACTTATGTTCGGATGCGCAGTACGACCATTTTCGCAGGGAACAAGAAGATCTACATTACGTATAGGGTACAGCATCGTTAAAACCGATGCAATGCTCTTTTTAGATAATAAAAGCTTTAGAACAACCCGTCCTGCGCGGTTACAAGGCGGTTGGGGGGCGCCCCCGGGCGCTTTACGAACCGAGTCTTGGTAGACTACAAGCTAGAAATATCCTTATTTAGATTCAGATTGAGCGGGAATTCAGATTCTTCAAATCTGATATCGGAATCTGAGTAAGACGTGAAAATTCAAATCCGATTATGCTTGTTCAAGTCAGTGTTCAAAGCGCAGTACAAGCGGCGCCACACGACAGTTCCACTGGATGCGCCGGTTGCCCTGCTTCAGGTCCCTGTCTGCAAATCGATTTTCTTAACCGGCAGGCTCCACAAAGTGGTTAATTGCTTTTAATTTCATTTTAATTTCTAATTTCTTTTAAATAATTTTTAATTCTGCAAACTTTACTCTCATTTTTCCTCCACATTTTTTCTTGTTTGCTTCTGTCTACTCTCTTCATCTAGCTGGTTTTGAGTTTCTATAGGTTTCCCTCCTCTAGAAAATTTTAATGCGCCTGCTAATTTCTTTTTTTTCAGGTATACGCTTCTTCCAGTGTGGACTAGCGATAAAGCGAATCGTTGGCACGCAGTTCAAGCACCAGGCCACCAAACGATACCAAGGCAAGAAAACTTACGCTCTATTCTAAATACTTTTTTTTCAGGCTACATTATTCGGCTCAGTGTGGGCAAGCCCTGAGAAGCGCATCCTTCACACGCAGTCCACGGAACGCCAAACGATTGCAAGGCAAGAAAACTTACGCTCTATTCTAAATTTCCAATTTTTACAAGTTTCGGTATTTGCCTAACTTTATTTTTCTAAAAGGGTTCCTGTATGTTCGGTGCTATTTTTGAGCCATATTTTTTGATTTTTAGCTTAGCTTCTTTTGTTGGCGTTTTATGATAGTTTAGTTGCTTCGCGCAGTATCAAGGAAGGGAGATAACTTTCTTTCAAAGGGTATTCTGGCCATTACGTGATTCTTAGATGTTTTTTAGTATCAAGAAGGGATTAACTTTGTTTTAAAGGGTATTCTAGCCATTACGCGATTCTTAGATGTTTTTTAGTATCAAAGAAGGGAGATAACGTTCCTTCAAAGGGTATTCTAGCCATTACGTGATTCGTAGATGTTTTTTTGAGTATCAAAGTAGGGAGATAACTTTCTTTTCCAGGGTATTCTAGCCATTACGTGATTCTTAGATGTTTTTTAGTATTAAGAATGGATTAACTTTGTTTTAGAGGGTATTCTAATGGGAAGCCCCCTGTAGTGCCTTGCCCCCCAGGAGGGCCAGTCGATAGCAGCCGCGACGCGGCTGATATCGACTGGTTTTACAAATAAAAATCATTGTAATTTATTAATGAATGCTGTTTGCAGATGCATCGAGTTACGGCGGATAATCTCGAACGGTCGATCTTTACGTCGTCACGCCCGGAAGATAAGCTGCATTTTTGCGTTGTCGCCTTCAGCAAGACCTTCGCAGCAACATACAATCATGGGCCACACGAAAACCTCGTGCCGGGCCGCATCGTCAACTTGTTCAACGTCAGAGACCCGTCACTCCAAATAGAGGTTGTTCTTTTCCGATTATAAAACATTTTTTTGTTTTTCAGACCCGTGTTCGTGGATCTTCAAATATTTATGACGTGACCGTTTTGGAGACGGTTACTGACGAATTTCCGCATTACCCTCGATCATCCGGGACCATGTTTGGAGGGCAATCGTATCGGCAGTTGGGTGTCACTTCAGATCGAACGCTGACTTGGAAAGATGGCGTGATCTCCGAGCGGCGCGGTATGTCTAATTTCACTGATATCAATTGTTTTATTTAGACATGTACGCTATCGGGAGCGGCCACGGGAAGTCGGGAGATTCTGGTTCCGGAGTCTACTCGACCGACGGCTTATTTTTGGGTCTAGCGATAGGCAAAAGAATTTTGCTTTTGCGCAAATTCACAACATGCTGGTCGAAGAAATTGCCGACCATCACCCGGACACGCAAATGATCTCGGCCGAGCTGATCAAGGTGGTCGGCAACATCGTTCCTGATGCAAAACAAGTAAGTTAATTTTTTTGGAGACTTAGTTCAATTGTTCTGTTTCAGTACGGCCCATCCTAAGCGACGAACTCGCCCGCAAGACTGTACTCCACCTCGCCAGACGCCACCCTTTCCCAGATTTTTGTGCTAGGAGATGAAGTGTGAAAAATTCTTTTCGCGCCCCTTTTCGTGCAAAATGTATTTTCATATGCCTCTAAAAGTTTATCGCCCTTTCACGGTCTTTGTGTTCGCTTTCGGGTTTTGTCTCTACTTCATTTATTTTCCACAGTCGCCCCATCCTTACTTATTTCCGTGCCGCGAGTCGGTTCAGGCTGTTGCCCCTCCCCTCCCCATATTCTTGTTGCGGAAGCGCGAAAGAAAGTCTCCACATTCCCGCCTTGTCGTCCTGTTGTTTATTTTAGGCTGGGCCGTTTTGTAATAAAGTTTTATCGCTTCTTACGTCCAATTCAATTCAGGGTGTCAAACGACTCTCTCGCAAGGTATCCCCTTGGATTGAGCCAACACTCAAGAACTCACGCACGTACAGCTACAACAATTCGCATGCGATTTTATTTTCCCTTTTTGTACATTCAAACATATTAATTGGTCATTCTTCTTGGTTTTCCTGACGTCATTTCAGGCGTAGAAGGTTGTTTGTAGGGCTTTAAGAAGATCCCACGTCTTCGCCTCGTGTTAGTTTGGATTTGGAGACATCGACTTGGAAGACGCTGCTTGTATCCCGTGGAATTCGCATTCTGTTTGACACCTTGATGCCTAACTCGCAAATAAACTCTCTTGTTCACTCAACTTTGTTCAGGAACTCAAGGGATCAAACGGTTCGATCGCAAAGCGTCTTCGGTGGATAGTAAGCAACCCTTTGACAAGAACTCACGCACAACCACCATCTACAACAACATCTATGGACTCAATCATGGTTGATTTTTGTGCCTTTAAAATGCTTCATTTGTGACTCTAGGGCTAAAGGAGTCTTTAAAAAAAGGATTTATGGTTTTCTCGGAAAGGGATGAATTCCCGGGGCAATAAAAAGCGCAAAATTTCTTTAGCACTGAAAAATGCCCGAAAATGAGGAACAGAAAAAAGATGCTGGCTATCATGCTGCTGGATATAGTTAGAATTTTCCGTTGATTGGATAGAACGGCCAAACTGAGCGGAACGACGTTTTTAGGTGCTCTAGTTGAAATATAGTCTCCGTAGCTTCGTAGCTATAGTGGTTCTCGATTTATAACCCCCCTCCCTACGGGCCTGCCTCACGAGCCGTTCGGCTCCGAGTCGTTCCAAACTTTTTCATGAACCTGCCCTATGCACGCGAACTCCCCAAATTCCCTTGCCCTTTTCGGATTTCACCCCACCCCGGGAATCAATTCCCTTTATCAGTTCAGATTCTGAGAGATTCTGAACTTCAGAACGATTCATTCAGGCCCCCGTCTCGGGTTTACACCTCCGCCCCCTGGGGTCGCATTATCGGGCAGAAGATCAGCGCGGCTTTCGAAATCTGGAGGCACCAGAATGTCCGCGAATTTTCGGCGACTTTCGAAGATGCGAAAGTGCGTGGGTTACACACCCGCATCACCTTTGCCTCCCGGAATTTGTGTGGCGAAACCACAAAAGCAATTTGTTTGGTTCCTGGGTGTTTTTTGGGGCGGGAAGCCTTTCATTTTCCCCGGGGAGCTGCCCGCGTGACCACCTGGGAAGATGTTGTGCGCTTCAAAACGAGACGAACGCACAATGGCGGGCAGCTGTTGGTCAGTTGAGTTAGACAAAGAAAACTTCTGCAACCACACACCTCACGCAAGCGGGTTATCTTATCTGCCAGGTTCCTGTCGTGCAATGTTGCTAGGTGCATGCCGAAAAAAGCGAAACGTGATCCCATCTATTTATCGAAACACTAACCAAATAATTCGATTCTGCGTACAAGGGTCGGATATATATGGCGATACAAATACATGGGACTAAATTTTTTTTGACGAGACACAAATACATGGCTGTAAAGCAATTGAGGCGAAAGCCAGCGGATGTTGATTATCGGTCATGGTCACGAGACGAAATTGCGGGGGGTTTAGTGGAAGTATACTTTAGAAGAGAAGAAGAATAATAGGGGGATATTTAGATCTCGTAGACCATGGCAAAGTGAGCCGAGGCGTCAATCGGGGTGGGAATGTTGTCGGGGAGAGAGCACGGAATCCGATGTAACGGAGAGTTTTCGCGAAGGTGTTCGACAAGTCGACGTCTAAATCTTGGTTTTTTGGTTTAATTTTGTAGCTTAGGATATTGTTGTATGTTTATCTAATGAAAAAGTCTGCTCTAATATGGGCTTTGCTGAGATTGTCTGACGAAAAAGCTAGTATAGTCGATAAAACGATCTCTAAATTTATAATTTTTTAAATTATTTTGTTGTTTAGGCTATTATTTTCTTTATCGGATGTCGATGTCGTCATCTGGTTAAGATTTTCTAATAAAAACGGGTAGTCAAAACCCAATAATTCGGCTCTTAAATCTGGCTTTTTCAGGTTAGTCTAGTGGTTTTGATAGGGTTTTTGATGTTTTTCTGATGTCGTCATCAGGCCTTATCTACCATTCTGGCTGCTATTTCCTAATCAAGCCCGATTTTTGCACCTGTTGCACTTCACTGACGAAATGCCGTGGCGTCAAATTTCAAAACCAACCTTTACGATCGAAGAGCGCGATGACCTGCTCCATTTGCAGATCCTCGCAGTACTCGAGCATAGAGACGAAATACTCCTTCGACACCATACGCGGGTCCTGGTCGCTGGGGACCAAGATTGCCAACGTGCTTTCATCCAGCGGGGCCCATTTCCAGTCCGGTGACACCGCAGCCACTTTTCTGGAAAGATTTTGGGTTGTTTTTCAGTTTTGTAGGGCTGTTATTTGTGTTGCTACTTCATATTCTTGTAACTCACTGAGCTAGCTCGGCCTCATTTCCTTTCAGTACGCGTGTAGCGATGTCAGGAGCACCACTTTACGCCTGTGGCGCACGTAGTGGAGTTCTGGCTGCAAGGGTTTGATATAATGAAAAAGAGCGGGTTTTCCTCACCTGACCAGATTACTCATGTGTTTACTACTATTACTTAAAATACTAGTCGACATCTTGGCCAAGGAGGAAGGGAGGGAGTGAGCTGAAACAGTGTAATTTTGGTTTTGTAGCGATATTATAGCGCTGAGTAAGGTTATAGAGAACTGTTTTTCGAACCAGGACGAGCAAACGAAGCGATGGTGGATCAAAATAGAGAATTGGATGGCAGAATGGAGAAAGGTAAGTTTTGTTTTGATGCCGGATTCAGGCTTTATACTTTAGGTCCTTGCTGTTGCTAAAGCGGATGAGCGAAAGCGATGTCGAAACGGAATCAAAGAGATTGGCGCGAAGATGATGAGCAGGTTGAGGAGGCTCAACAACTATCGCTAATCGAAGGGACAACAATCAACCCCCAGGATCTCATATCTTGGCTCAGGATACGAAATCGAGATGAGGTGATCGAGCCACGGTTCCGGGGGCGCGATCGACTGACATTGACTGGGCGCCGCGGCCAGCTGGCTTTTATAGAAATGGAGGGTCTGCTCTCTCTGCGCCCTCTTCGCCCCGTGATCCCGCCCCATTCCTAGACACCAAAACCACGAAAGGGACCGTAGTGCTGGCGTTTTGCCAGCCCACTGCAGCCTTCGACCATTGATCGCCGTCAGCTGAAGCTTTTACACACCGAGAAGCCGGCTGGTTGGACGGCGGGCGCCCTTGGGTAAACCTGAGGAAGAGAAGTTGAGGATCTGTTGGGAATTGGGGTTCTTGCTTTAGTAGGTTTTGGCTAGCCTTTCGGCTTCCAATTGTCAAAACTAGGTGGGGTTCATGTAATAAGGTTCTGTAATTAGTAAACTTTCGCTACTTTTCTTACTCATGTCAAAGGAATTACTGACTTGTCCTTTTCTTCATCTGGCACCTGATCACCGTTTTCTTCTTCCGGCATTTTACATTTTACGAGGATATATGCTTTCATTAATCTAATTGAGACAGACTGAGGTATCAAACTCGAGCTTGTGAGCACTTTTTCTGATAATTTGATTTCTCTTTAGCTTGCTTATTGCAACCAGAATTGCTTACTTTTCGTAATATTCTGTTTGCGGTTTTTTTAACATCTGGATCGGCTTCTATCCGTGAAAATTACGCAGCTTTCCTCGTAGCAAATCTAGCTTGTGACATTCGGCACTTTTTCTTTTGGTTTTGAGTGCTTCAATCTGCCTTTCTTATTTGCCATCATTTTCTACTTCTGTTTTGGCTTCTATTTTACCCCGTTTTTAGTTGAGGACGATTTCAAAATTTTGAGAAAGAGAAGCAGAGCTAGAGAAGAATTTTACTTTTTGGAAACGGACGGCTTCTATCAGTGAAAAAATAACCTGATCTATGTGACAAACTCAAGCTAATTAGCCTTTTTTTTGTTTTACCTGCACGTCTTTCGATTATTATTGGAAACCAGAATTGCTTATTTGTCACCATTTCCTTCTCGTTTCTCTGCAAATTTTATCCCGGCTTTCACTCACCATCTCTTTTCAGGAGCCCTGCATTTCCCACTGGTGAATGAACCAGGAGCTGTTCGGGCGACTCTCTCAATGGGTATGAATGTGTATCAAGATGCCACCCCTCCATCGCCCTCCGATGTTTACGGCATTATCAACGAGTGTCTTCAACACCTACACTTCACGGACGCGCTCACGCTCGCCGAGATATGCTATGAAAAGAGTGGGAAATTCGAATTTTACGTGTATTCATGATTTTAGCAAACTCTGACGAGAGCCTGCTGTACATCTGCGAATGTCTGCAACGGCTGAACCGGACCGACGAGCTCTACAATTTGCTGAATACAAACGCGTTGGTGAACCCCCGGCTACGCTACATCTTCGCCAAGACATGCTGCGAGCTCGGAAAGTGAGTTTTTACTAAAAATGGAAAATATAAACGTAACTGGGGTTTTGCAGTAATTCCAGGGGAGCTGAATTTTTTCCTGGTGTCCTAGTTTGGCTAGTAAACTCAAAGCAAGTATTTTTGTGGTCAAATTTAGCTATAATTCATCCGGAAAAGATATTGAAAACAGAGACTTGCTCGATAATATCAATTTTGGTCGAAAATCGGGAATTTTCGCTTGAAAATCCGCTGTTTTTGGAGTTCTCTAAAAAAAAAGCTACATTTTTTTGCGTTCACGAATGATACAAATAGTATGGAAACACTTCCTATATTGATTTAAGAAAGAAAGGACGCTAAGAAAAAAAGTTCTCCACTAGGAAATAATGAAAGCCGGTGATTTTAGTTTTATTTTGAAGTGCCGTCCTTAACATATTTCTTTTTCAGGACTGGTGAAGCCGTTCGAGCCCTCATAGCTGCCTGCGAGTCGATGGACCTGTCCGGATTCAACAAGCCACAAGCCAAAGTCACCCTGCCGAAGGAAGCTTCTCGTCTCCATGCCGTCTTCCTCGACTCCCCCTCGGCCCCTTACGCCCGCGTGTTGCTGTCACAGATTTTATGGTAGGTTTTAATCATGCCATGTATTAATTAGTGTAAGTAAAACTACACTGTAAATTAAAAAATAATGTAGCTCATTATTTGAATTATAAAATGATTTAACTTTAATGAAAATGCGTAAATCCGTTTTTTTTTTAGTGAACACGGACTCGAGCTTGATTCACGACACCATGCAGCCAGGAGCATTGAGCAGCATCCGTTCCTGTGGTCGTCAATTCATCAGTACCTGAAGACGGGCGGCAACGATATTGTGGATCTGATGGACCCGAACAGCCGCCTCGTTTCGGCACCCTCGGAAAACGACGTGACGCCGAGGTAATTTTGGATTCGCTCGTGCTCAGCTTCAATTTTTGCTTCAGAATCGAAGATCTGGCCAAGCAGGACATGGAAGTTGACGAGGTGCTCGAGAATGCCGGTATCGACAGCAACATCACGCCGGTGCGGACCGGCTTTGGCAAGCTTACGAACCAGGTGGCAAGGAAAGCACGGCTCGGCGATGTTCCGGAATTGAGGTAGTTTTTCTTCCCTGAATAATTGATTTAGACTGGTTGTAGTCTGATTATTTGTAAGCCAAATCCGTTAGCAAACTCGAATTTATGACGCTGTGAATCATTTTGAAACGATGAAATTTTCACCTTTGGCCTACGCCGTTCAGAAAATTGGTTTGGAAAATGCTCTAGACAAAAAAAAAAATGTCGAAGCCTTGCCCAAAGCAAATTTTTTAATCATAAAGAAAGCGAAATTCGAGACATGAACGGGCATCTTTGTTGTGTTTTTACTTATTTCTATTGTTTTAGACGCTCAACAAGATCGAGCACTGCCTCACAGTATGGTGCCGATACGGAGAACGTCGGCACGCGACGGGGCTTGAAGACGCCGAGGGGCTCCGTCTTGGCACCGGTAGGAACCTTTTTTTGCTATAAATTTTGATTTTCATATTTTTCAGGGCAACAACACGGCAAACCGGGCGATCACCCGCTCCTCGGCCATCCAGAGCAAGATCAGCACCTCGAAATCGCCGACGCTGCGGAAAAGCGAAGTCAAGGTAAATTCAAAATGAACGTTGCTCATCTAGAAAATTGTTTTTCCAATGTTGAAAATTGATAAATCAGCGTGATTTTTAAAGTCTCGAAACCCCGAAATTTAGCAACCGCTCACCTCACGCAATTCCAACCGCGTCACGACGTCCAGTACGGGTTCAGCTACGGGAAATAGGTGCGAACGGCTTTTCTGGTTTTCAAAAGATTTCTAGGTTACGAAAAATTGACGAACGTGATCTGCAAAAGGAACCGAAAGATTTTGAACACGACGCCTCTCCACTTTACCGTAGGTCACGATTTCATTTCTGACGTTTTTTTTTTCAGGAACCATTTTCTCCTGCTTCAAGTTGCTGGCCGGCGTCGAGCAGCAGCTGCACAAGTACGACTGGGAGGGCGCCATGGACGAAATTGAGAATCTGGCGCCTGAGGTTAGCTTTTTTTAACGAAATTCGACCCCGATTTTTTTTAGTTGCAAAAGCTGACCACGTGCACCTACCAGAAAGCGCGTGTCGTCTTTGAGAAGTGCGACTACACGTCGGCGCGCGAAATTCTTATAGGTAATTTTTGTGGTTTTTGACGCTCTAATTACTATTCTTAGAACTGCGGCGGAAACACCCGTATCGTTTGGAGGGCATGGACCTGCTGTCGACGACGCTTTGGCACCTACAGAAGAACTATGAGCTTTCCCAGTTGGCACAGGTTTTTTTTTAATGCTTATGATTTCAAATTGCTTTTTTTAGGATTTGACATCCGTCTATCGGAATCGAGCGGAATCGTGGTGCGTGGCCGGGAATTGCTTCTCGTTGCAAAAGCAGCACCAACAAGCCGTGGATTGTTTGCGTAGGGCGGTACGTTTATTAGTACGTGCGTGACGCTTTTTTTTGAAGCTTCTCCGCTTCTGCTAGCTAGGTTAATTACATTGTATTTACAAAATGAAGGCAGCTAATGGGCTAAATTTTCTCATTTATGTCTCAAGAACGAAGGCAATGATTTTGTTATTAATACGATACTTTGCAAAGTACGTTTACGCACATTTTGTACATTTTAGCTGTCTTTTGCAAGCGTATTTTTATAGGTACGCATCGATCCGCGATACACATACGCCTACACCCTACTCGGACATGAACTCATCGAGATTGACGATATGGACAATGCCAAACAGGTATCGTATTAATTTATGAATTTTTTAGCGAACTGAATGACAAAACATCGAAAAAATACTTCTATTTTTTTCAGGCGTTCCGTCGCGCTCTCTCCATCAATCCGAACGACTACCGCTCGTGGTACGGCCTGGGGATGGCCAACCATCGCAACGACTTCCACTCTTTGGCCGAGGTTTTTGTACCTATATTATTGTCAAGCCCAAATTTCAGCGGGACCTGAAACGAGCCCTCTCGCTCAACCCGAAAAACGTGCCTTTGCTCTGCCAACTTGCGATCGTGGAGAAGTCGTTGAATAAGGTAATTCTTTGCTGGATTTCATCAATTTATATAATTTCCAGAATCGGGAAGCCAAGACGTATCTGGAGTATGCCTTGCAGCTCGAGCCGAGCAGGACCGTTAGCAAGTAAGCCGATTTTGAGAAATTATATTATTGGATTTGCTACTTTTTTGAGATTTTGTTACGTTCAAAACCACCTATTTAGATTCCACCTGGCCAAATTGCAATACGAGATGGGTGATTTTGACGCCTGCATCCAGAATCTTGAAGAGCTCAAGGTAACCTTACTTCGCACACAAATAAAATCGTGTTTTTAGGCCTCCAGCCCGGATGAAGCTCAAATCTTCTTCCTCCTCGGCAAGGCGTACAGGTAATCTACTTTTTTTATGATCAGAGAACATTTTTTTGCCTATTCTGCGGTTGTGCTAAAGTTAATAAAGGCGGGAAGCGCTTCTATTCATTTTTTTACTATTCCTAAGCGTAATAAAAATTACAAATTTGAAACCTAAATGTATAAAAAATGATTCGATACGGTTTTCGACAAAAATGCGAAACTTTATGCAGTTTTTAATTTGTTTTCCGCTTGAAGCATCGTTAACTTTTCCTGAGAAAATAGCCAAATTCGTTCTATTACGACCCAACTAGGAATTGCTAAAAAAGCGGTTATTTGTTTCTACCATCTCTATGTCTTATTTTCAGACGCCAAAACGACACCCACCACGCACTGCTCAACTTCAACTGGGCGGCCGAGATGGACCCGCGCGGCGAGCAGACGATGAACTACATGAACGAGCAGCCGTACGACGACGAGGGTCATTTGTGACGAATCACGTTTTCTAGGTTTTTTTGATGTGAGCGCGCGCAACTACGCCAACTCTTTCACTTTCTCCCCGACGAGCTCAATTTCCCCTCAAAAAAAAACGGCTTGGCCATTATCATAGCATTTGCGTGCGTGCCCGTTTTTTGCCTTCTAGTATATCCCCTTTTTGTGGCGCGCTATTTTAGATAGGGTATCGATTGCATAGTCCTAAAAAGTGCCCTCCGCCCCCACCGATTGTTTCCCTCTCCCTTGCTTGCGATGTGTTTTTCGGGTTGGCGCCTACTTGAAATTACTTGAATTCCGTTCGTTTTTGCTAAATTAATTTTGTCTGGAAACAAGCTGTCGAAAGGTTAAAAAACCTATTGCGGAAAAGTTTTGGCAGCCAAAAAAAAAACAAAAAATCTTTTTAGACAAAATTAATTTAGGAAAAAAACGAATACGGTTCGTTTTCCGTAAATTTATTTGGTCTGAAACCATGCTTGCTGAAATTTTTGAAACGGTAAAAAAGAGGTTTTTAGACAAAATTAGTTTACGAAAACGAACATACGTCAAATTACTTGTCAGTAGGAACTTCGCGTTTCCCCCTCGCCCCCTCCTTTCTGCAGATTTTTCTGTACACCAATGCTCCAGATTCACGGTAGAACATCGTCTTTCCAAAGAGCCCCCATATATTCCCTCCCCTCAGCTGTGCAGCCGTCATTTCTGAGATTGCCATTATGTCCTTTTTTGACCCGGCCGGCTTTCAGGTCCCCCTCCTCTCTTGATATGCTCGTTTCTTGATTGACTCAACCATCATCCGATCCACCCCGCCCCGCCCTCCCCATTTATTTCTCTCAGAACGCTGCTGTTTTTCAGATATGCCATTTTTGCAAAGATATTGTGATCGAATGGTACAAATAAACTGATTATAACAATTTTTTTTGGGCACAGGGAATGAGAATGGTTGTTGTATCGAGTGATATATTCTGTGACTCTCTGCATGGCTACTACGTGAATCGGCGAATGAGCGATCGAACCGTGAATCTGTTTAGGTTTATGCATTTCTTTTTGACGCCGCTAAAGGGCCGAAAAAGGATAAGTTATAGATTTCCATGGTTATAGATTGGCCGTCACGAAATGTAACTTCGATTAAATACTTATAATCATTGTATAAAGTAAATTTATGTTTTAGTTGCAGTTTGAAACACGTAATTTTGAGCTTTATAAAACGCGCGCTAAGCATTTTAAAACTTTTAAAAGTTAATTTATGATTGATGGAACACGTTTAGCCGTTTATTGCTGAAAAGCAAGCAAAAAGTTGTTAAATTCGAGCCCTCGGTTCCGAATGTTGATCGTGCCACGCTCTTCTAGTCGTTTGGTCCTTGCTTTCAGGCTTCTCCTCCAGCTTGACGCTCGCCCTACACCACCCCGAACCCTCGTTGTCTGCCCGCGGTACACTCTCCCCGCCTGCCTCCACCCAGTGCCCCGAACCGGACCAGTGAGATTATACTCGGTTGCTCTGCCCCCTCCCCCTCTCCCCCATTCTCTAGCCGTCTGCTCGTCGGCCCACCAACCCCCCTGGTTGCACTTCCCCGTCGTCACCACCAAGGGGGACGGCCGTTGTCTCTTCACCGCGCGCTATATCGGGTGCTATTACGTTTCTTCTCTTCTTCCCATCCCCGATTCCCACGACGTGCTTTGTCCTTGTTAGCTGCCGGCTTTATCTTCGTGGTATACACCGGGATTCAGCAGCAATCTCGCGCCCATCAATCTCCACCGATCATTCGGGCGCCGCGCAATGTAATGTCATGCTTTTGGCGCGACCGGAAGTTGTTTGATTTTTATTATGCTCGGATTATGGACAAGCTCTTTCTTGATACGAGTTGGAAGAAAGTGCGCCATTTTCGATGTTTCTATGGTAATTGTGTCGCAACAGTTTCCGCCGCGTTTTTGGAAGCTTGCTAAAAATTGTCGCTTTCGGCGCGACCGGCAGTTCGGATGTTTTTTGTTATGCGCGGATTATTAGCGAGCTCTTTGCTTATCGTAATTGGAAGAAAATGAGTCGTTTCGATACTTCCTTTGTAATTGTGTCGCAAGAGTTTCCTCCGGGTTTTTGGAAGCTTGCTAAAATTGTGACTTCGAGCGTGACCGAAAGCCGGTTTTTTTGTTAACCACTTATCTTTGTGTAAATTCGCGGAACGATAGTTCTGCAGCTTCCAATTCTAATTTTATGCTGCAAGAGTTGCCCCAGTTTTCAGGTTTTTTTGAAATCTTTGTGCGATTTTTTTGAAATTTTTGCGCTTGGGATGTGACCGGAATTTGGTGGCTTCTTATTTTAATGCGCTAATTTGTTAAACAGCTTTTTTTTATTAATTCTAAGAAGATGGAACTAATGCTATATAGTTTTCTTGTGATTTCGAGCTTGTCAGAATTTTTCCGGACTTGTACGCTCGTTTGAGCGCCTGCTAAAGTTTCTGCTTCGCCACCCGTTATCAACCAAAAACGTTCTTTGAATTTGAAGAAAGTTGGTAATTCCCGATCTTTATTCTACAGATTCGTGTAACAACAATTTCGGGCTTTTTTCAGCTTCCCAATAGCTTGCGAAAGTTGGCTTATCTCATTTTTGAGCTTCATTATCATCCTTTTTTCAAGCTTTTTCCCTTTCGCAATGCCTTGAACTCTCGGCTTATGCTAATCACGCTGTTTCAGGGATGAAGCTGCCCACAGAAGCGGCGGGGGACGGAATGCAGTGCGACGCGGACAGCGACCCCGACACCACCCAACTACCCACCACATACCAAGTAAATTTTTGCGCTGAGGTTTTAGCGTTTCATTGTCAGCATATTCGTTCGCAGTTTTTCGTCTAATTTTTGTGGCGCGTTGTGCCCGACTGGGGCAGGGGGAACAGCTATAATTTCCTGATAAGGCAGGTGGTGGCCGACAAAACCCCCGTTATCCCTCGAGGCAACCAAGATGCGGGGGCCAGCAGTTTGCAGCACATAGCGCTGTGTACTTTAACCAAGTAGCGAAGGAGAGATCCGATAGAGCGGAAAATTTGCACAAATCTAGAGCGAAGGTTGCTGCTCAATTTCCTGTCTGTAAAATTGGTTACAGGTATTTAAAAATCGAGAAATACAGGCCACTTAAAATCAGTCACTTAAAAGTTTTAGATTTAGCCGTTTTTCGCTGCTTTGGTCGATTTTGAGCACGAATTTCTCCGGTTTTAAACGGCCTTTTTCCGTTTCTCGCTGGTCCATTTGGAGCGCGAATTTCTCGAGTTTTAAATGGTCTTTTTCCGTTCTTCGTTTTTTTTTGGCCCACGTTGAGCGTTTTTCTCGAGTACTAAAGCCTGTAAAGAATTTTAAATAAGTTCCTGTCTTTTTTACGTGCTCAATCATGTTTTTTCTTCAGGAGCACGATCTGCCGGGTTCGTCGACGCCGGACGCCGAGCGCGCGCCCACCGACCTCTTCGCCGTGCTGTCGATCGGCGACTCCCTGCCCCACCTCGACCCGAACAACAAGAGCTACCAGGCGATGGTCGACGGATTGAAGGTGCTGTTCACTTGCCTTCCGAAAACTGATGTTAAAAACTCGTTATTTACGTTTAACTGCGTATTTCTAAAAAAATTTTATTGCACTGTAGAACGAGCGCAAAAAGCGACGCTCGCATTGAAATTTTGTCGTCCAATTTCCAACGTAGTTTTTCAGGTCTTCGGACAATGGCCCGAACAGGAGCAGGTCCACTTTGTGCAGCTGCTGATCAGCAAGATGGGCCACCAGCAGCTCGGCAGCATCGAGTCGTTCTTGAGGCCGATGCTGATGCGCGACTTCATCACCCTGTTGCCAAGTAAAATTAGGATGAATTGCTAATAGCTTTTGTATTTTTTAGAAGGAACCGCCGAGCAAATACTGATGCAAGTCGACGAGCGGTGCCTGGTGCAGTGCGAATTGGTGTGCCGTCGCTGGAGGGCGGTGATCGCGTACGGACAGCTTTGGAGGAAGCTCATCGAGCGCAAGGTGGTTTTTAGATAGATTTCGTGTTATTTATGAGCATTTTAAGTTTGTAACTTTTTTAATTCTATAACCATCTCCAGTTTTTAGAAGTTTTCTTTATCCCACTTTGGAAATGATTAGTAGCTATTTATAGATAGCTAGCTAGTTTATAGATTAAATTACTGTTAATTTATTTGCAATTTTACGATTATTCATAGGTTTATATCTTTATTTTACTTTATAAATGACCTTTTCAAGGTTCGCTCCGACGACATGTGGCGCGGGCTGGTTGAGAAGCGGGGCTGGCTGCAGTACCTGCTGGGCGCCCGCATCCAGAACGAGATCAACGTGTGCAAGCGCCTCGGACTGCCCTACGACCAAGTCAAAAATACGGAGGAATTTGTGTACAAATTGCATAACTTTTATCGGTGAGCGAAAGCTTGATTCTCATATGTATCCATTCGTTGCAGAAATCTTTGTCCACGCATCAAATCGGACATCGAACGGGTCGAAGAGAATTGGCGAAACGGGCGGCACGCGCATCAGCGGATAGAGTGTCAATCGGAGAACAGTCGAGGTTGGTTTTTCTGGATACTTTTATGATGATGTGCGCGTTAGTATCAATTTACTTTTTCTTTATTGTATTCATTCATTTAGTTAGTATTCATTTTTCCTAAATTATCTTGGGAAAAAAAACAAATTTTCTCAGGAAGCGTTTGCCGGGTAGACGGAAAATTTAACGCCGAGAGAAACAGAAAATTTATTTTTAGCAATAACGAACGCGCGCCGTATTACTGATTTGTTGGGGTAATAAAGTTCCTTCAATATATTACTCTTTTTAGGCGTCTACTGCCTGCAATATGACGATGAGAAAATCGTCTCCGGCCTGCGAGACAACACTATTAAGGTGAGATTTTCGCTGGGACAGAATAGGCAAAATTACGATGATTTTTGCAAGGATTTGATATTTTTTCAATAGCTGAGCATATTGCAACTTTTGCGGGTTGAGCGGCTGCGTTGCGTGTCGCGGTCGAGGAAATTTCTCCTCAGAAATGAAGCCTGCAAAATTTTTTGTTACGCGTTATTTTACGTTTTTGTTTCAGTTGTGGAATCGGCGTGACTTGAGCTTGACGCAAGTATTGACCGGACACACGGGCTCCGTGCTTTGCCTCCAGTACGACAGCCGGATCATCATCAGCGGGTAGGAGTAGATTTACGTATTTTTTTTGTTTGTCTTATCAAAGAAAAATATGAAACACCTGTTTTTTTTTTACAAACATGCTATTTTTCTTCCGCTTAACCCCCGATTTAGGTCTTCCGATTCGACGGTACGGGTATGGGACATCGAGACGGGTGAATGCTTGAACACGCTGATCCACCACGGGGAGGCCGTCCTACATCTTCGGTTCGGCAACGGCACGATGGTCACGTGGTAAGAGATTTGGCCCCATCTTTTAAGCTAAATCGTTTTGTATAAAGTGTTCATTTCCATTTTTTAGCTCAAAGGATCGCTCTATCACGGTGTGGAACATGGTCTCGCCGCAGGAGATCACCGTCCGACGGGTACTGCTCGGCCACCGCGCTGCTGTCAATGCGGTGGATTTTGACAACGAGCACATTGTGAGCGGTAGCGGCGACCGTACCATAAAGGTAATAGATCTTTTTTGTGGCGCTGGCATATTTTTAAAATTTGATAAGCCACCAGCTTCATTTTGAAATAAACTTTTCTAGGTTTGGAGCGTCGACGATTGCCAGTTCATCCGCACGCTGTCCGGCCACCGGAGAGGCATCGCCTGCTTGCAGTATCGCGAAGGCCTCGTCGTTTCCGGCAGCAGCGATTTCACAATTAGGTGCGTTTTTTTTAAACTTTGCCCTATTTTAAATCTTTGTTCTTTCGCATTATCAGGAGACCTATTTCTTTTTAGGTCTATAATAAATGCCTAGTAGCTTCATAGCAACTTTTTTTAGTGTTTTTGCGAGAATATGACTAGAAAAACTTTCCAAAAACTTTCTGGAAAGGTGAAATTTGGTAAAAAATCGGCCATTTTCGCTCTAAAAATCGATATTTTTGTGCTTCTAATACCATCTGTAAGGTGTCTGCATATAGGAATAGTAAAAAGCAGTTGAGAAGCACCTGTTCTGCTATTTATAGTTGAAACATGTACTCTAGGAAAAAAGTTAGACCTCCCGATAATGCAAAAGAACCTTAAGCTTACAGCAAGTTAAATTGTAAATTTACAATAGTTTTTGGCACCGTTTTTTACATATCAATAACGCCCTCCTTTTTCAGACTCTGGGAGATTGCCTCGGGCACATGCCTGCGCACGCTTGAAGGCCACAACGAGCTCGTGCGCTGCATCCGCTTCGACAACAAGCGCATCATCTCCGGTGCCTACGATGGGTTCGTTTAGTTTTTTATTGTTGTTAATTCGCTTTATTTTCCAGAAAGATCAAGATCTGGGATATGAATGGCGCGCTCGACCCTCGCTCGAACCTCAGCAACCTATGCCTGGCCACCCTTGAGGTAAATAATTTTTTAAAGTTTTAAATTCTATTTTTTTCCAGCAACATCAAGGCCGTGTCTTCCGACTGCAGTTTGACGAGTTCCAGGTATGTTGGCATTATCAAAAGGACAGGAAAGGCTTTGCTCTGGATTTCCAAATTTTACGATGAGTTTCGCTAGAAATTACTACCGTTCATTTAATCCGTTTGGTTAGCCTCTTTAATCTAGTTTCCGCTTTCAGATTGTCTCCTCGTCACACGACGACAGCATCGTCATCTGGGATTTCCTGAACGCGCCCGTCGGCCACCCGGGCGTCCAGCCGCAACCGATGCAGCAACAAGCCGCCCCATTGCCTCACCCGCATGCGCTGATCCCGATGGTCGCTGTGGCGCAGGTGTGTATTTTTGAAAAATAATTGAATTGAACGGGAAATGCGTGGATTTCATATCTACATTCTATTTGACACGACCCGACACGCAACGCGCCGCATCGCTATGCCATTGCGTAATAGATTACGGCATTTTACCACGGCCACCGTAGTACGACTTTCCGCGATGCAATGGATGGCGTTGCGGGTCGCGACGCGGCAAAATTTATAGGGATTCTTGACTCACAAATTTTGTAGCTCAACGTCGCGGTTTCAAATTACCTTTTTGGCTCTTTCGCATTAACGGGGGAGGGCTAAGTTTTTTGTGGAAGTCCAGAATTGGCTAGTAACTTATTAGGAAGTAATATAATTACTTTTTTTAGTAAAATAGCTAAATTTCGACAGAAAACTATCTAAAACCTTTAAAAAGTCTAATTTTGGCCAGAACGGCCATTTTTAGTGAGAAATCGATATTTTTGTGTAGTAAAAGTAAAAATTTGTATAGTTTTACGTCTAGGAATAATAAGAAAAACCTCCAATTTGTATTCAGGAAAATTGGGTGCAATAAAAATTTCGCTCCCCCCAAAAACGCGAAAAAACCTTACCTTCTTTTAGTTGCCAGCACCGGCCCTGGCCGGCCAGCTCCCGGGCGCCATGCAGCAACAGCAAGACGATGACGACAACGACGCCGACGTGGATTAGACGGCAATCTACCGATTCCCTTGCCATTATTTTTCATTCAGCGTCCCATTCACTTATCGGTTGTTGTCCCTCCTATCGCCCCCCATTTCCACCCCCCATCTAGGTACAATTAGCGTGTGTGCGTCAATTCGTGCCGGCGTTTCCCTCCCTCCTCAAAACGGGGGATGTGATTACTGTATCTAATTCCGCTTTTGCCCCCACCTGAACTTGTCGAGGACGCTGCGTGGCCCGGGTCTGCTCTCGCTCTATCTGTCTCTCTCTGTCTCTGCACTCATCATCCCCTTCCACACTACAACTAGTCAACGCTTCTGCACTCCCGGATTCCTCCGCCTTTCTTCTGCCGTTTCTCCCCAAAGCCGTTTTGCCGGCCATTTGGGAGCTGTTTAAGGTTTTTAAGCTGAAAGGGCGCGAAAATTACGTTATTCTAGGCCGATCGAAAATCGAATGCAATTTTTCTGCGTTAGTTTTATGAATCTCGTTGAAATTTCACGATTTACCCTGCAAAAAAAGCTGAATTTCTGCTGTGTAAAAGTGTGAAAATCTATACAAAACGCGCAAAACCATACCGGTGAGCTTTTAGGCTGATCGCCCTAAATCTTCTACGCGCCCCTTGAGGCTAAACTTAACCTAGATAGCTCGGCCATTTGTACAATAGTTTCCACGCCCCCGGGGGCCCGGCACTAAACAGTTTATCGTTTTGGTGGTTTCCTCCCAAAAAAAACAAGCGCCGGTCGTGTTCATTCATTTGTGCCGGACATCCCGCGCTCTCGATTCAGCCCTGCCACCTCCTCAACCCCGTCGTCCTCGCCGACGTCGTCGTCTCCCAATTGTGCGTGCATCTATTCGCCGTTTCACTCGCCCAATCTGTCTCCACAGCCCCCACCATCATCATCCATCCCCCCCACACACACTTTCCTCTTGCTACTTGCTCGCTCGGATGATTGCACTTTGTGTGGAGCGTGCCCGTCTCTCTCGTGTTAGCCCTTTTTCTAATTTTTGAATAAACGGATGTCTTTCGCGTATTTGGAGGTGGTCGGCACGTTGCAATACATCGAATAGTACCCTCAATAAAGATTATAACTTAAGAGATAATTAGCGAAAGTGGTTCTGGTTCGGCAGTGGGGTATATCCTCCTTCCCACCCACCCCCGCTAACGAACCAGATCTGAGCTGCAGAACCGTGTGGTGGTTGACCGAATCAGCCAACGTCGACTTAACTAGCTTGGTAGCTTCGTAGTAAACTAGCTTATTTTATAAAGTATAAAACAATTTTTTTTTACCTAGCTTCGATTGTGGCTGTTAGCTTCGATACGTAATAATGATAAAAAAATAACTTAATCTAGTTCTTTGTAATTAGCAATCCAACAAGGAGCCGTTATTGGTGATTTTGCGATGTGACCCAGTTCATTCGATAGAGCTTGAAATTCTGAACAGTCCCATTCTTTCAAAAACTACTGAAAGATAACGGTTTTCGAGAAAAATTTCTCAAACTTTTTTAGACCCTGTTATGGGTCGCAAGAAACGGTCAAAATCGTCTCATTTAGAGCCCGCCTTCTCGAAGACGGGGGTCGTGTGGCAGTTTTTGAAACATGGAATCTATTCTGAATCGAAAGCTTTATCGAATTAGCTATGCCACGTTAGTAAGTCTCTATTAGCAGCTAGAAACAACTCATTGTAAGGCATTACAGCATACTTTATGGCTAGCTAACTAGTTGATTAGTTTAGGGTACAGATGTTTCCAAATATCAACAGTTCTTACAACCGTGTCACATTTGTAATGAATCTTATGCAGAAGCCAGAAGCATTATGAAGCCAGATCCGCCGGAAGCGCCCCTTCGAATTCCCCCGCCGCGATCGGCATAATGTCGGCGCGTACACATGACGACAGGAATTCCAGGGCACTCGAGGGGGAGGCGGAAGAGAGCGGAAAGGGCGAAGGAAAGAGACCCCGCGCATCACGCTCTCTAGCCTCTCTTGCATAGATAGCTCAGCTGTCCATGGTAGTAATAACGATTTTGAGAAGTACGAACTTTTAGTTATGATGCGGATGCGCCAAAATATTGCGTTTAGCTGATTTTGGCGAGAATTAACTATGTTTTCGATGTAATGATAACGATCATTGAAAGTATAAAACCTTTATGAGGACGTAAAACTAACCTAAATATAAAATTTAACTGGTTTTGCGATAATTGTTTACCTTTATCTAATTTTTGTCCTGATTTTCCGCATTATAGTTTTCATTGATAGCTCGGTTTTGCGTAATAATAATTGCACGGTAACTGAAATTATAAAACTTTAACGAAGGCTTAGATTAACGTAAATACTAAATTTAACTGATTTTGCATATTTAATGGTTTTTTCTGCTTTCTGTGTGTATTCCGCTTTTACTACATTATATCCCCCTTTCAGGCGCTCCGAACCGCCCCGGGAAAACTGGAGGATCCACCCTCATCGCCGGAAGACGACACGGGGTCGATGCGGAAACCGTTTTTAAAACGGTCCATCTTCCCGACACTCCCATCCACAATACAATTCTACCAGAAGGGCACTAAGGTATTTATGACGGCACGGTTGTAATATAAAATCATATTTTCAGGTCCGAAAGCCGAGCCGACGAATCCGGGATCGATTAAAATGGTGCAACAACCCTCTCCTCCCCCGCCCCTCTACGCCAATGCCTCACCACCAGCTACTTCACCATTGTCGAGCCGACGGAGGAATGGATCGGCTATTGGGGACGGCACTTCCGGTGAGAGCTTCGGTTTCTACTTGTAAGGTCTACAAGATCCTGGGTTCGTTTCGCCGAATTTATATTTCCAAAATCCAGCGATAACCCTCGTAAACCGTGGATTAAACTGCGTAGCAATTGTAAAAACCCATCGTGTACGAGGCTCGAAACCATCAAATTTCCACCAGTTGCCTCTGGCGTTCGAAAAATCGGCTCCAAGAATCCTCGACGTAAAAAAGAGTGTGCAAAACTTTACCGAAAATCACTAATGGTTTCTAAATAGCATTTGGCGACGGGGAATTCGGCAAAATAATAAGTCGAAAAAGCCAAACCCGCATGAAAATATTCATTTTCAGGAGCGGTGACTTCAAGGAGTTCGACCTGCACCAGAAAGTGAACCACTTCCCCGGGGCGTTTCACCTGAGTCGCAAGGACACGCTGTGGCTCCACATGAAGGAGATGCAGATCAACTTTCCGGGGTTCGACTTCATGCCCTACACGTTTGGGTTGCCCGAGGAATTGGAGGATATTCGGAAATATCTAGGTGAGCAATGGTCATAATTTTCCATTTTTCTGTTTTGGGAGCTTGAGCGTTATCAGGGGGGAGGGAGGGTAAAACCAACGTTTTTCAATAGCCGAAGCCTGAGTAATCATAAAATGTAATATTTTTCTTGTTTTTTTGGCGGTTTTTGATGGTTAAAAGCTGTATAAATAGTTTAAATAATTTCAAAAACCCGAATTCTTTACGATTTTTTAATATTTTTCTGTTTTGTGACTTTTACAAGTAGTACCTTACCAACTAGTACCTTTTACACACTTACAAGTTGTTCTTTTACACCGAAATTTAACTTTTAAATTCAAATAGTTTTTATTAAGTATTAATTTTTTTAAATATTGACATTTAGTTATTAAAATAAATAAATAGGTCAATAAAAAAGTTATCGATCGATCGAACTCCATTTTATCGTTTCAGACGCGGACCCGGCAAATCACGTGATCGTCAAGCCAAAAGCGTCGGCCCGTGGCCTCGGAATAGCCGTCACGCGAAATCTCGACGAAATCCCGATCGAAGGCAAACATCTGGCCCAAAAATACATCCCCAACCCGATGCTCATCAACGGCCACAAATTCGACCTCCGGCTGTACGTCTACATGACGTCGGTGGAGCCGCTGCGCATCTACCTCTACAAAGACGGCCTCATCCGCTTCGCCAGCATGCCGTACTCGTCGGCCGAGTCGTCGGTGGCCAACCCCTACATACACTTGACGAACTACTCGATCAACAAGCACGCCGAGAATAACGGGGTCGAGACGGCGCAGGAGCTGAAATGGACCCTGGCTGACTTTTATCAACTCCTTGAGCGAGAGGGCCGGCATGATGTTGCCCAGATTCAGGTAGTTGATTTGGTGGCATCAACCTGGTTCTTTGGCATTATCGGGGGATACTGTACCTGGTAGCGAAATAGCAGACAATTTAGCTCTATTTCAAGTGTAAAAAACATCGGTTCTTTTGTATTATCGGGGGGGGGGGGGGGGGGTAGGGGGGGCGGCGAATTTTTTTTGTACGATTTTAGATCAGCCTAGTAACGTAATATGAAGTATTTTAATAGCGTTTTTTTTTTGGCGAAATATCTCTTTGAAAATTGGGTCCTATGAAAATGACCCCCCCCCCGATAATGGAAAAGAACCAAACGATCGAAAAACGTCGTGGATTTTAATGGTATTTTTCATAAACTGTAGTGAAATTCGGATTCGAAAACGACTCAGAAATGACAGTTGTTAGAAAACGCAGAAAAATTGGCAATGCTGGTCGAAAATCGGTGATTTTTTTTGCTATTTTTAGAAGTTTTAGAGTTTTAGGAATAGAAATACTCTCAAAAAATAGTTTTAAAATGGGTTTAATAAGGAAAATTGAATCCTAAGAGCTAAATATCAAGCTTCGCATTTCCAGGAATCCATCCTCGACATCATCCGCAAGACGTTCGTCGCCTGCGAGTCGGCCGTCCGCGACGCCGTCCGCCATCGCGTCAAGCACCAATCGATCTGCCACGAACTCTACGGTCTCGACGTGCTCCTCGACGACCAGGGCCGTGCCCACCTGCTCGAGATCAACGTCTCCCCCGCCCTCCGCGCCCAAACGCCCGTCGACAAGCTGGTCAAGATGCCCCTCGCCCAGGACGTGCTCAACATGGCCGGCATCAAGCTCGACGGGGAGCACCAGGGCGGCACCCTGCACTTTGAACGCACGCGATTCTGGGAGCCGAGCCAGG